ACAGCAGCTGAGTATTATTATTATTATTATTATTATTATTATTATTATTATTATTATTATTCTACTTGGTTTGAAATGTGAAGGAACAAGGCCCGCCAGAACGAATTCCATCCAAAGGAAGGGAATGCTTAAAAGAGGCATTTTACTCTCGCAGGAAATCAGAGGTTATCTTCTTCAGAATTGTGCAGGTTGTGTAGGATTCACACACACACAAACGCCCAAGACAGAAGCTGCATGAGCTGATGCGGCTCTTACCGGTGATGTGTCCGTTGTGTTCCTTCAGTTCATGAGCTTTCACCCACTGGTTCCCATTCTTCTTGTAAATGTGAACTTCGTGGTTGTTCGGGCTGATGGCAATCTCTGCCAAGAGAATCATTGGATTTGCGTTAACAAAAACATAGAGGGAGAAAGAGAGGGGGAGGGAGGGAGAGAGAGGGAGAGGTTTAGAAAACATTATTCATCCATCCTTCTTTTACAGTAATTTTTCCCAAATGGAGAGACTGCATAAGGCGCATAGAAATGAATATGAAATGAAAAGCCAAAGATGTTAAACAGAAGCTGATGCTAAACTTCAATTCAACAGAAGATGTCTTGGTGAAAAGAATTGCCACAAGGGGAAAACTGGATTACACTGACGAATAAACCTGAACCAGTGAAAAATGTGTAGCTGTGAAAGGTAGAAGGGGAAGCTTTCCACCTTTTGCACACTTTTCGGGCCTGACTTTTACACCAGAAGCGTGCAACAAAGAACTCGAGGCGTGTCAAGAGGAAAACAGCAGAGGGCGAGGAGGTTAAACAGCCTTCTGTCTTTCCCCGCCTACACATCTTCCCAACTCTCTTTTGCAAACCGTCCCTCACGAAAAAAGCTTAAACAGCAACTCAGCTGTGGGGTCCTTGGTGCTGTCTGAGCTTGGCGGCCTTCTTGCAAACATTTCATTACCAAACCGTGGTGAGTAACATCACCAGGGCTGTGCCCTGATTTTGTTGCCTAGCTTGGTAATGAAACGCCTGCCAGAAAGCCCCACGCTCACACAGCACCAAGGACGTCACGGCTCACCTCCACGAATATCCTTTTCTACCTAGAACAGGGGTGTCAAACTCGACTTCATTGTGGGCCGCATCAGGGTTGTGTCTGACCTCGGGGGAGGGGATGGGCATGGTGGGGTGGGGGTGGCCAGCTTGATGCCCAGGACGGCCTGCAGGCCAGTTCTAAGCACTCCACGGGCTAGATCTGGCCCCCTGGCGCTGAGTTTGACACCACTGCCCTCGAACCTTAGTTACTAGCAGCTGTGGGTTTTCAGCAGCGTATCAAGTAAATGTTTACTGAAATCACAGTTTAAAAAGCAAACCCTCATGGATGACACTCACGGGTTCGGTCTCGGTTCCAGGCGTGGCAGGTGATTGGCTCAAGTAAGAACTGGTGTAGCGACATTCTGGCAGGAGGATCTTGAAAGTCTAAACGAAAGATAAACCAACCATCAGCCAGTTGTTTACATGCCAAACCGTAAACGTAATGGAGAGAGGAGCTGCAACCATCAAATGTATTCAAGTGGCTTCTTTAAATTTGGATTGAGGAAGAAAGGAGCACTCCGCCTTCCCAAGATCAGACTCACAAAAGCAGAGAAAAGAGAATTTTTTTAAAAAAAATTATTTTATTTTATCAATTTCATATATACATTCACAATTATATGACAATTTTTCCTACTGTTGACAATATACTTGAAAATTGCTTTTTTNGAGCTGTCCGAAGACGTCTCCGGGGTCATGTGGCCAGCATGACTCAATGCCGAAGGTGCATGGAACACTGTTCCCTTCCCACCAAAGGTGGTCCCAATTTTTCTACTCGCGTTTTTTACGTGCTTTCGAACTGCTAGGTTGGCAGAAGCTGGGACAAGTCACGGGAGCTCACTCCGTTACGCGGCTCTAGGAATTCGAACCGCTGAACTGCCGACCTTTTCTGATTGATAGCGTCTTAGCCAATGAGTCACCGTCCCCCTTTTCATAAGTTGGATGCCTGAGGCTAAATGGATTCCTTCTTTAGAATTGGGGGACCCTCTTCGTGGGCAGGCGAAACAGCCGGACCCACCGCACCGGAAGCCATTCGGAGAAGCGCAGCCCTGCCCCCTTGCCGCAGCTACTTACATCATGTTTTTCGAGGCATCGGCAACGGATACGGTGCTATCGTGGCTGACCCAGGCGAGGCGGTTCCCGCTAGCCGAGAAACTGACGCTGTGGACCCAACCGCCACTGCCGGTGCCCCCGAATTCAGCCATCAGCTGCCCGAAGGGCATTTTGGAGCCCCAAGGCGTGCTGGCCGGCTTCTCGTCCACTTCCTTAATGTAGGCTGAAAACACCCTGCGGGAAGCGAAAGTTTGTCCTTGAGAGGGAAACACGGTACAAAACGTGAAATAGCAAATCTAAAATGTTATACACATGTTAGATGGCGGATATAGTTTTTTGCTTCATTTGTCACCACCAGGTTACCAGGGAAATCTCGATCATAAGCTCAATTTTGGCACCCTGACAATTATAGGTTGGATATTTGTTTTTTTGGCCCATAACAATTCAGTGACATTGTTGTAAAACGAGGTCAACAGACAACCAACCAACCAAACAGAATAGAGCCGGAAGGGACTTGGAGGTCTTCAGTCCCTGGCTCCAACAGGAGACCCTATATAATTTGAGGCAAATGGCTGTCCAGCCTCCTCTTAAAAATCTCCAGGGATGAAGCACCTACAACTTGTGACTTTGTCCTTGCCATGCAAACATGAGACCTTCTGGTATCAGCCATCTGCAATGAACGCCTTTTTAAAAGTAGAATTTTAGTCAGAAATTGATATTCTCTTCTCATCTCTCTCACTCTTCTTGGTGCTTGTTTCAGAACCACAATCTCCTTATCTTTATATTTCAATGTTTTATCACCTACAGCTTTTGAAGGCAAGTTCTTCCACTGATTGATTGTTCTCACTGTCAGGAAATTTCTCCTTAGCTCTAAGTTGCTTCTCTCCTTGATTANTATGTATGTATGTATGTATGTATGTATGTATGTATGTATGTATGTGCGCACAAACACACACACATAATGAAGTTTAAATTTGAGTAGTACAATATATCTAGATTTCAAGAAAGCATACACTATGTCTAGTAAGTAATAGTTACAGTGTCTCCAAGTAGCTCATGACATTTTGATTATCAAGCTAGTTAAGTGTGAATCGGGTAGTGCAACAGTTGTGGATACAGAGGTGGCAAAATTCTTATTCAGTGCTGCTCAATGGTTGCACATCACTGCCTCATTGCAGACAGGGAATCAAGTGGAGTGCCACAGGGTTCACCCCTTGTTTTTGTATTATTCAATATTTTTTATTAATGACTTAGGTGGGCACTCTGATAAGAGGATATTTATGAGATCTGTTGCTGATAAAACATTGTATGGAATGGTTAAGAGTAAAAAAATAAAGATAAAATTCAAAATTGTAGAGTAGAGAAATGGGCTGAAATTATTGGAATAAAATATAGATGAGATAAGAAGCAAATTTGAGTATAGGATAGGGAATACCTGGCTTGAGACTTAATACTTGTGTGGGGGAAATGTGGTATAGTAATTCAGTGCAATCTGAAAATGAACCAGCATTGTTATGAAAATGCCAAAAATAAAAATGTGATTTAAAGCTAAGTCAAAAAATAATAATAATGGAAAGTTTGCTTTGTTCTAAATTGGCCAGACCCCATCTCAAATATTGTGTCCTTTTCTGGGTTCCGCACTTTTAGCAGTTTTCAGGAAAAATCAGAGCAGCTTCAGAGAAGGGAGCCACTAGAAACTAAGACCTATGAGATAAAATTGAAAAGAAAAAAAAATTGAAGGAGGAAGGTGATAACATTCTCCAAATCCCTGAAAGTCTGGCAAACAAGAGAAAACCATGTCCAGCACCTTAACTACTATATCACACTAGCTCTCATATAGGTTCCTGTGATACCATACTGGACTGGGTGAGGTTCAATAACTGTAATACAAATGAAATTGAGATACATTTATATTAAGAATAAAAAACCAGAAGAATGGACAGCATTATGCAATAAGAAATGGCTACTCAGTTTTTCTGATTACTTTATTAATGCCTTGAATCAAGTTATTATTAACTTGTTGGAGCTGTAATCCCTCCCTGTTAGATTTCCTTAGATTTTCCAGGAACCATACTTTGACTCACTATATGCCTTTGATAAAGTGAGGTATAAAAACAAAGGTCCCAATAAAGTTGCTTAGTCATGAAGGTGCTACTAACATGCAGAAAAAAACAATTGCTACCAACCTGCCTTCCATTGAGGACCTCTATACTGCACGAGTCAAAAAGAGGGCTGTGAAAGGATCTACAGATCCCTCACATCCTGGACATAAATTGTTTCAACTTCTACCCTCAAAACGAAGCTATAGCACACCAGAACAACTAGACACAAGGACAGTTTTCCCCCGAATGCCATCACTCTGCTTAACAACTAATTCCCACAACTCTGTCAATAATTTACCAAGGATGTATTACTATTTGTTCTTCTCTTCCTTCCTAGTATCTATCTCTCCCCACTTATGACTATAACCATGTTGCTTGTATCCTACACTTTATATTGCTTTTACTATTTCCTAGTANTCCTTCTTTCCTTTTCCTATTATTTTCCTTCTCCTTCTTCTCCTTCTTCTCCTTCTCCGTTTCCCCTTCTCCTTCTTTCCTTTTCCTATTATTTTCCTTCTCCTTCTTCTCCTTCTTCTCCTTCTCCGTTTCCCCTTCTCCTTCTTTCCTTTTCCCATTATTTTCCTTCTTCTCCTTCTCCTTCTCCCTTTCCCCTTCTCCTTCTTTCCTCCTTCCCATTATTTTCCTTCTCCTCCTCCTTCTCCTCCTCCTCCACCACCTCCTCCTCCTTCTCCCCCTTCCCCTATCCCTTCTTCTTCTTTCCTCCTTTCCTTTTTCCCATTATTTTCCTCCTCCTCCTCTTCCAAGCACTGGTCCTAAAGAGATGGAGGCCAGCTCTGTTACTAACTGTGAACTCAAACAGATTTCCCTCCAAACATCTGGAATAGACAGAGCAATGCAGGCTTGGAGACTTAAGTGTGTCGGGCACCCAATCACCAACCTATAATAGAGAGAGATTCAACCAGGAGGGAGCTTTCGACCCCTCGAACGGATGCCAGGTGGGCAAACCCCCAACTCACAAAGCTTTCCATCGTTAAAGGAAGGACATCCACAAAAGGTGGGAAGGCAACTGATTCTTCAAATCCCATGTAATTTGAACATCGAGAAGACCCCCCCAAGTCCTTCCAGCATCTGTCTGGAAATGTCCATCACAGGATTCCTATCCTCCCCAGGCAAAGCTCGGTGTTTCAATGGGCCAGCTGCCAAAGAGGGAATGCCAACTATTTGTCTGCCTTGACAAGATTGATCATCGCTCCCAGTAACTGTGAGCCCAGAAGATGGCTGGTTGGCAGCCAACGCTGTAATTATCAGTCCCTGGGAGATTAATAAGTGACAGCAACTAGCCTGGTGCAAGTTGGCTACTTTCCCCTCTGCCCCTCCTGCCCCCGATGCCTCCTAAACCCTTGCTAGAATGTGTGGGGTCTCTGCCAAGTGCCATGCATTTCGCTGGGGAGTGGGCAGGGAAATTTCCAGCTGAATTATACGTCCCCAGGTAGATAAAAATAGTCAGCCTGGAAAAATAAAAATCAAGAACTCCCCGGCTAATTATTTGAAAATGAGAAGGGCAGAAAAAAAACCTGCTAGGGGGATGTTAAATTAAAACCCTATTTCGGGCAGCTGGGTGAAGAGGAAACACCAGTAAAATGTTCCCCCTGAAAATGAAGCAACGAATTTTGTTCCTGGCTTGTGGAATCTTTTAATTTGCTCGCTTGTCTCTCTCTCTTAGAAGCAACCGCAGGATTTTTATACCGCAGTAAGGACGGTGGGTGGCTGATTCTTCCTTCGCCACAGAATATCTTCCCCCTAAGGCTGCAAATGAAAAGCATTTTCAGTCTGTTTATGACTCTAGTCCTCATCTAACAAAGCTTAGGGTTTTGTTGTGGTGAGCAAAAATAATAATAATAATATGGCTTTGTCCCTTGCCAGGTTGAAAAAAATGTGACTCATTGTAGAAGGGTTTCCCTCCCTGTATTTTGTTCCCGAGAACCTTGTCTGGGGCTGCACAAGACTACAGATCCCATCTGTGCATGGATCAAGGTATGGGTACTACAGTTCTTAGAGATGTCCTAAATGGCACTTCCTTACTTCCTACTTCAGTGGAGGAGGTGTGCATAAGTGCACTAATGTGCCTCTCATCACTGTCATTGTATTTTTTCTCTCTCTTATTCTTGTTCTCATTTTTGTTTGGCAAATTCCAATACATAAAGTAAAATTAAATAATTGGGAGTTTTTGGTGCTAATGCATTTGGAGAACCAAACCTTCCGATTTTTAAGGTCTAACTTAGGGATTTTAGCAGGTTAAGCAGAAACAGAAACAACAGAAGGTTTCCTGCTTTGATAGGTTTTGGATCTACCAAGTGGAATATCTCTGGTAGATTCCCAAAGAGAATGACATTTTATGTGGCCAGACTGGGTTTTTAATCAGCTGTTCTCCCAGCTTTGATGAGCCTTGATGAGCTCCTTTGTTCTTTAGCCTTTTAAAGTAAACATTGCGTTTTATCTACTGGAGGTTTTTTTTTTTAAGCTGGAATGTCTTAAAAAGCATTTCAGTTCTGCATATTTGGATGCCTTGAACCCTGCCTTCTAAGCGGCATGGCAGGAGAAAAAATGATTTTAGAGACCATGGAAAAACCAGCTGGAAAAACCCCATCAGGGCTTGGAAAGGCAGGGGTGGGAGTGCTGACAGGCAGGACCATCTCCCGAAAAAGTGGGAAAGGACGAAGGAAATTAGAAGTGATCTATTTATACATTTATTCAGGGAGTCTTTGGTGCTGTCTGAGCATGATAGTTTCCTTGTCAGATATTTCATTACCTGCCTAGGTAACATCATCAGTGCTATTTGGGGTGTTTGAGGAGGAGGAGAGGAGGAAGAAAAGGAGGAGGAGAGGAGGAGGAGAGGAGGAAGAGAAGGAGGAGAAGGAGAGGAGGAGGAGTAGAGGAGGAGGAGGAGTAGAGGAGGAGGAGGAGGAGAGGAGAGGAGGAGAGGAGGAAGAGAAGGAGGAGGAGGAGAGGAGGAAGAGAAGGAGGAGGAGGAAGAGGAGGAGGAGGAGGAGAAGAGGATGATAATTGTGGGGTACATGGTGTTCTCTGAGCTTGGTTGTTGGCTTGCAGACATTTCATTACCCAACTAGGTAACACCATCAGTACTAGAAGGAAGTGGGGTTTGCAGAGTGG